TTTTCTTCCCCCCCCCCCCCCCCAAAAAAAAACCTAAAACTTTATTAAAATTTATAACAAATAGGAGTTTTTTTGGAAATTTAGGTTAAATTGTAGTATTCGGATTTGAATCTGTATAATACACCATAAAAAATTTTAAATGCCTCAATATGAAATAGTATTGAGGCATTTTAAATTTTGGAACGAGCATGTAAAAGGAGATTGGAATGAAAGCATGTAAAAGGGAATTAGAACGAGCATATGCAACCATGGACAACACATCCTGAACAAACAAGACCAAGATATCTGTCATGCACCCATAGACAACACGCCTTGGACAAGCATGACCGTGACATCCTCCCCCATTCAATTGGTTGATGTCTCTATCAACCGCCTCAAACAAGCAAGACTTCAACATCTATCATGCGGCCATAGGCAACATCTTTTGGACAAACACGACCGTGACATTTCTATTTATTTAACTTTAACTTCGATTAGAAATAAGAAAAATATGACAAAGTTTAATTTGAAAGAAAAAAAATTGATTAAAAATAGTGAAACTATAATATAATGGAATTCTCCAAAAACTCAAGACTTTAGAGATTAACAATATGAAACTAAGATTATTGTCACGTATCATATATATAAGATTCCAATTACTTGTTCTTCAAAAGGAGATCTAAGTTCCTCTGTGTAAGTGTATATAAGAAAGTACAGGAAATTGTCAAAACAACCTTTTTCTGTGCCAAAATAGTAAACAATGAGAATGGTAACCCATAAGCAAACACAGAATCCCAATATCTTCCTACTCTATGATTCATCCATGAGGTTGGATTCAGATCTTACATCCTTCTCATCTTGCCCCGCCTCAGAATTCGACATTTTTGAAACAGAATCCTCGAGGGCCTCGAGAAAAGACAACACCGTAAATTTATCTGCAAGAAATTCGAGAATCTTTTAAGTATCACAATTTTTTAGAACAGCAAGAAAAGGATCTTCACAACCGAAATATTGAGATCCTCGTGTCATGGGCATGTTCGATAACCATTTGGTTTTGAAAAATTGTGTTTGTTTTCTCAAATTTCTTTACCATGAGTTTCATTTTTTCTTTAGAAAACACTTAACATGACATTTATTGAAAAAACTTGAGGCCTTTCAAAGCACAATCTACTTACATTTGCTCGGGTCTATCCCAAACTGAGACAAATCTATCTGTCCAGTCCGAAGAACCTACAAAAACATCAACACCAAAAAATGGGGTAAAGATTATCAAATTTGATCGCCAATTTATACATTCGAAACGAAAATCCAGAGTTTAGATTCTTACGTAAGTAAACGAATCTACTTGTTGACGGAAAGGTGGACTTTGTAACAGTTCCAATATATCCTCAGGAGACCATGGACCCTGCATTCAGAATATAATTGAATAATGAATAAAAGTATAACAAAGGATCAAATAACCAAGTGGTGTATACCTCTGGTAAATACGATGCTAAACTCTGTTCCAATGGCAATGTTTCCAACAATGGCATTATCAGATCAGGCTTCAATAAATCTCCTAATCCAAAACCTACATCCATCATCACGGAGGTTCAACATAAATCCAGGGAAACAGAGTACACAAGAAAAGTAGAGAGTTAAGGCAACTTTCTAACGTAGAGCTAAGGTTCTATGGAGGAAGTTGAATGCCATTAGATGCATTCACGAATTGAGTTTTTATGGCTACTGTAACAGCCCAAGCCCAAGCCCACCACTAATAGAAAATGTCCTCTTTGGGCTTTCCCTTTCGGGCTTCCCTTCAAGGTTTTTAAAACGCATCTGCTAGGGAGAGGTTTCCACACCCTTGTAAAAAATGCTTTGTTCGTCTCCCCAACCAATGTGAGATCTCACAATCCACCCCGTTTGGGGCCCAGCGTCCTCCATGGCACTCATTCCCTTCTCCCATCGATGTGGGACCCCCAATCCACCCCTTTTGGGGCCTAGCGTCCTTGTTGGCAAACCACCTCGTGTCCACCGCTCTTTGATGCTCCGCCTCCTCATTGGCACATCGTCCAGTGTCTGACTCCATCGCTAGCAGATATTGTCCTCTTTGGACTTTTCTGTTCAGGCTTCCCCTCATGGTTTTTAAAATGCATGCTAGAGAGAAGTTTTCACACCCTTATAAAGAATGCTTTCTTCGCCTCCCCAACTGATGTGGGATCTCACCGCTACATTGTAGTATCATTATTTATTATTTTTTCCTTCCTTCCTAAGGAGCAGGAATTTGAACCTACACCCTTTAGGAGAGGTCGAGATGCCTTAACTACTAATCTTAGGTTCGCTCATTCGTTGTTTACCTACAGACACTTTTGTAGTTTTTGAGTCTTTTAACCATTATATGATTTTATACCCAAAGGATAGGATTCCCCTATAATTTGGTAGCCTTGTGTCTCAAAAATTCTATTTATTAATGAGATAGTTTTCTGATCTAGACAAAAAAATTGGTTGAATATCTATAATATATATATATCTGCCAAGGGGAAGAATTCTTCAAGATAAGTGCTACCATGTAAACATGAAACAAGAAATGTCAAGAAATTTTAAATGCAACTTATTACCCGCATCTGGATCAACATCGATGTCTGCAGAGTTCAAAACCAGCACAAAATTATTAGAGTTCGGAGTGATCAAAAGGAAAAAAGGGCATCAGAACATGTTTTGAGGGTAGAATCGTGTACCAGAAGACTCAATGTTACTTAAAATTCTTTGCAGGTCTTCCAACTTCACTGGCCGTAGTGAGGAGCTTCAATGTCATGACATTAAAATTGAGTGTCAAAAGTTTTAGCTAATGAAAAAAAACACCAACAAAAAGACAAGGGAAAATATTCTATTGAAGTATACAGTAGGGGACTTTTCATAGAACACATCCCAAAGTTCTAATCAAACGTAGCCATACACCCTCAAGGCTCAAAAAATAGGGTTTAAGGAATAATTAGAAAACTCCTCAACACCAAAGCCCAAAGAGAACATTTAACCTAACATGGGCTCAAACTTTCTCCCCTTAGACCTCTCAAACCCTTTTAAAGTATAATTGTTTCTCTCAAGCAAAAACTCCACAAAATAGAACGAACACCCACAAACCACAAAAAATGACCCTTATCACAAAAGGACGACTGAAGAAGAAACTCATCCAGCATAGATATGGAAACATCAGACTGAGACAAAAATATGTTTAATGTCTGAAAAAAAAAACCATTCCAAAATAATCAAGAACTATTGTTCAAACTATTTTTAACTAGCTTCTAACAAGCGATGAGGTTAAACTATTTTCAAATAGCTCATTAGTTTAGAAGAAAAGCAATAATGGCTAAATGTCTCTTGCTTTTTTTTCCTTTTTCTTTTAGTGTATCTGTATTATTACACTTTTTTTTAAAAAAAAAGAAAAGAAGTTCTCTCTTTCAAATTATGAGTTCATAAATTGGTGCCATTGCTTTCAATGAGTGACACATTCAACATAATTACACATCAAAGTCTTTTTTTCTAAATCATGTCATTTTATTTTGTAGTTGAAGGTGTTTGGGTCAACAGATCCTCCACTATCACTACCATGGTATGACATTGTCCACTTTGAATATAAACCCTCGTGACATTACTTAGCAACCCAAGAAGTACTTTGCAAATTTTAAAATTGTCCCATTGATTAGTTCACATTCATAAACAATTTTACCTAAAAAGTCCATTTAATGAATGCACTTCATTAATACTTCTTCCTAACGTGCTTAAAGAAAAAGTGTTCTGCTAAAAAACACAACTCTTAAAAGTCATACGCAGTCTTCTTCCACAAAAGAGATCTATCCGCCTAGTAATCATTAGAAATTACATTTCAATTGAATGCCTAAAGATCAGAAGATCAGATGACCCTTTTCCCATAATTAGAAATCTATCTCTATCAATTTCTTTAAAAAAAAATGATTTTTTTGATCATTCAAATAGGTTGGTATTACCACCAACCTATTTGAAGAATCAAAAGAATCATTAAAGAAAATCAGGTTTTTGCCAAAGGGATATTTTTCTTCAACTATGTCATGCTTGAAAAATGCAGCCAGGGATAGTACCACCCAAATAAAACCCATTTGAAGCCTCAAAAGGGTTTCAAAAAAAATTAATCAAACCAAAAACAGAGGTCGATCAATGCTATACCTTGATGGGATATTTTCTTCGACTGTGCCTTCTGAAACTTGCAGAGGAGTGGAAGCAACAGATTGTTCTTCCTCAAGAAACTCTGAGCAACAAAAACAAAGATGGAAGTAAAGGGGTGGGCCAACATATGTAGCTCGTCCGGGATCTTGTGCAGTCAAAACCAAACAATTCAATCCAGCACACATGCTATTCAATTTCCATTATGGATGAACTTCATTCTAAAGAAACTATTACGCCATATTTTAATGTCGGCATTAATATTCGACTCTCTATATGCAATGAGGACGCCAGTCAGTGAGACAATTTCCAAAATATACTTATGTTGTTTCTTTATCCGTTTTTCAGGTTTATTTTGGTTCGTATACATTAACAATAATCGTTAAAAAATAAAGACACTTTGGACACAGTAAATTAAGTGGTAGAACATTCAGTAATATGAGCGTGTCTTGTGTGAATGTATGCATGTCACAGAAAACCACAAATACTAGCCTGCACTTGACCCAGTATAACTGGTTAGCAATTTATTATGCAAGGTTTAATCAGCAGATAGTCAAACAACTACAATAATCAGGACGTACCCAGTGGCCGATTAATGTAGTCATTAACGGAGATACACAACTGCTGGTCATCTTCAGCTTTGGGCTCCTAGTTACAGTTTATCTAACGTTGGTCAGAATTGCAAAAATAGTAGAATATAAGTCAATTCTCTCAAAGGATAAAAAGTAATCACAGATCAGACCTGCATCCAAAAGAAGAATTTCCTGTCATCTGTTTTAAACTTCAATAAGTAAACTCTTCCTGACGCTTGATTAACCTGAAGCAGAGAAAAACTACAAGTTTAACCTTGGAGCCAAATAAGATTGAAAATTTTGTTTGGTCATTGTGTTCTCTAGAAATCTCAATGCTAACTAACAAGTGGATTCAAAGATACCCCACCTAGTTCAATCAGTGCATGTGTGTTTGTTTATAACAAGGAAAATATTGATCACCTCTCTGCTCAATGCTTGCAACCATAGAAGTGGGAGACTAGTTGTTTGAACTTTTCAGCATAAATGTTAGGGACGAAGTTCATTATAGAAGTGTTCTCGGAGGTCTTTGATGAGACTAGAGGGATGGAAGAAATTTTAATATATCCCTCTGTGTATCTAACTGCAGACAAGGATGGTAATTTTCTTTGTTCACAGTTATTGCTTGATTGGAAGCCACTCTTACTGCCCCTTTTCCCCCTTTATATAGATCTTTCTATTTCTCCACTACAAGTACTTCTTTAAGAAAATAAAAAAATAAAAGAGAGAGAGAGAGAGAGTATTACACACCTTCTCAAAAACTGCTTCATCAGGAAAAACAATCTGGTCCTTTGATACCTTGTATTAAGGAAAATAAAAAAAATATCTAGCTAGCAAACTGGTAACAACAGAAAAAAGTCATAGCTGAGGAATAGAGAAGAGTGCAATGCAATGATATAATGAATATGATCTTATTACTTTGCGCCAGCCTTATGTTTGGAAAGAAGAATACACTGTCCATTGAAACATCAACTTTAATAAATATACTAATATAGAGTGATGATGCTGTCAACGGTAAACAAAAACCATCTGTGCAACAGAATGTAACAACCAGTCCATGACAAAACACACAAAAAAAAATTTAATATATTATAAGTTAAATTAAACTCAGAAATCATTTCCACTGCTTGCAGAAAGAGTCACAGCCGAATATCTACTCACATTAATAAGAGTTTGTTCCTAATAATAGGCGAGTTTAGTTCATTGTCTTTCTATAACATTCAACTATGATATATAAAAAATCATAATATTTCATCGTGAAGTATGAAGCTTTTCAGATTGTCTTTTATCTTTTGTCCTTTTCTCTAGTGGGGATAAGCCTTCAAAAGTCAAGTGAATCAAATATTAGGATGAAAACCACACATTCTTAATTTAATAATCAACGGAAATAGTCTACAGAAAGGTATATGCATTAACCAAACACGAAGAATTGACAATTGACACAAGTGATCAGGATACATCTTCAATGACATTTTGCGTTCGGTCAAGCCACTGAAAGTGCAGCAATCCCTCCTCACCCTGACATAGAAAAGATAACACAGGGTTCAAAGAGAGAAATTAGTTTTAACTGGTGGAGGTTTAGGTTCAACTAGAAGTAACTTAACAGATCGACTATTGTATAACAAGGGGGAAAAGCTATTCTTACAAGTATGCTTCTACCTCCCCTTCCCTATTCTTTTTTCTCTTTAGAGAGAAAACCGTCTTTCTTTAAATTAGGGGGCGGAATGTCAACAAAAACAAAGGACAAACCAACGGAAGGAAACAAAAAGAAAACAATTACCTAAAAAATAAGGATCCCAACTGACGGTCATAAATTACAAGAAAAAAGTTCTGAATTCTGAAATCAAAGAGATGCATTAAGATGCACCAAACCCGTCTTCTTACAATGCATCTAAACTTGAAAAAGTTTGTCAACTTCTTCCCAACCATATATATAAACCACAAACTATAAAAACGTAGGCTTGCCA